TGCGACAGAAAGCAGTAATAACAGCAAAAAATGCTGTTGTTCCCTTGAAGACTGGACGACGCGCAACCAAGCCCCAGGCCGGGTCCTGCTGGAACGAATCTACTTCTCCAAATACTGTATCACTCAATTTGCTAAGCGTTTCATCCAACTGTGGCTGGAAAACATTAACCAGGAAATTATCAAGGAAGGATGTTAGAGTGCTTGCAGCCAAGTCCGACCCTGGGGGGACGATGACTTTCAAGCGTTGCAGGAATACTAGAGTCGGCGGTAACAGAAGACTCATGTTAAATACACTTGGCTCCACAAGCGATTTATAGGAGCCAGGTGCATTTCTATTATCAAAAGCTCCAGTATACGCACTCTTCCTCGACTCTCTCCCAGCTGATGATTTCTTGTCCGAAGCCTGTTTCTTTTGGGACGCGGATGTGAGACCAGGAACTGCAGCTCGTATAATCCCATCCAGGGCCTCATATTCGGTAGTCATCTCGACGGATTTAGGATCCGCCTCGGAGAACTTGAATAGATGCTCCCTGGATGTGTCCTTATTACCATTTAGCATCATACCCTGCCTAAGGGAGGTGTTAAATTGGTAGACATCTGCATCCGTTGTGACATAATTGTGTAAAAGGGAGCGTATCTCGTTCTGATATAGATTCCACAGCTCCTTAAAGCTCCCGAGGAGGGAGCTGTTGTTACCAGCACCCTCACGTCGAATGAGCGCCTTAATAGCCTCGTGGAAAACTCTATGCCCCTCGGCAATAGCCTCAAATTTACCATACAATGTCCATAATAGGTCATATATGACATCGGCGCGCATATGCGTCTCCCTGCTGCCATATATGTGCAGGCCCTGTGCATTACCTGCGCCGCCTCTTAAAGAGCTAGGGTGCCTCTGATCAACTTCATTTATTGTCTCGTTTACGATCGAAAACAACTCAACCGGGAGCCGTTGTTTTAGGGTATCAACCACGCTCTCTAACCGGCCAAGCTTATTTAATGACTCAACGACAAGACTAATATAGTAAAAGGTATCCGCTTCAGGGTTCTTTGCGGGATCTTCGGTTACCGGGCGCTCAAGATCCATCGTATCTAGGATTAAATGAAATGGGGTAAGAATGCCTGGGTCGGTATAGTTTTCATTGTAGGCACCCTGATTCTTGGCTAAGTTCTGCCATCGCTCTTGGCAATAGGGCGACTTCAGATAGAGATGCTCATGTAGCTCCTCGATTAAAATGTCCATCAGAGCGGTTTCCTGGTTAGCAAGGTAGCTTCTCAGGTCACTTAAACCTCCAATGTCGTCGAGTTCTGGTTTCCGCAGTTTTCGCAGTGCATTTTGCAAGACTTCGACAGCAGTTAGGAACCGCTTTTCCGATATTCTAGCCTCCAATTGGTCCGGCACCGTCCGCAAGTCCTCCAGTTCATTCAATGTCTGTAGAACATCATCGTACATCTGCGACGTCTTATAAAACTTCTTGAGTTCTGGATCTGTTGCACAGAGACTCGTCCTCGACGCTGCCAGAGATTCTTTCAGAGCACGTACGCGTTTCTGGGACGTTTGTATGCTCCCCTGTATCTTATGAAAAGTACCAATAGAACTATTGAAGCCTTGATGGTGTTCGTGTACGATATTTTTGAGGGAGTCCTGCAAGTATTGGTGTGTCTTCTTGAAATCTCTATATTCGTGTGCTCGGCCAACAGAACTGTTATCTAGCAACTGAAGTGCTAACGAGACAGGTATGCAATCATCCTGAACCATAGCAGGCCATTCGGACTTGATGAGCTCAAGTACCTGGCCTATCTGTTTCTCAGCGTTCGTTTCATTGGTGCGCTGGGCTCTAGAGGCCGGGGAGCTGTAACCAGCACCCCGAACGGATTCAAGGGGCGGTCTTCGGGGATTTAGCTGCTGAGGAGGGGTGCCAAAGCGATCGCTTGTGTAGCCATCGCCAAAGGGATCATATTCTTCGTCTTGCCTCGCGGCGGAACCGTAGCTGTTACCGTTGCGGTATGACCCGCCGTACCGATTGGACATGATCGCGACTATACATTCGGTTGGGGGAGGAACCAAAGCGGGCTACTGGTAGAAGCTACTACGCTAGGCGCTATAGCATGCTAGCAGGTTTCGTAGGTTTCGTAGGTTTCGTAGGTTTCGTAAGGTCTAGCACCTTTTCTCGTGACTTCGGTAGGATTAGACCTATCGCAAATGTCAGGTCTATTTGTCGGCTATGTGATAGGTCATTGTTGTAACTAGTAAGGAAGAAGGCTAAAGAGTGTCGTCGATATGCGACACGAAAGTTGCTAAGGTAATCGTTTGTTTTAAGGTTTAAAGTTGGTCTTGACCCTGACCGGCGGGGCTAACGTAGGATTGGCCTATGTGCCTAGTAAATGCGGTACCTATCAGACCCGCTGCATGTACCTACAGGTACCTAACCTAATATCAAGTATGTACTTCGTACAGATTACATTTTTATACATTGTCAAATCCATTAACTATTAAATCCACAAACTTTATATTCAACTTATACTATCACCAGTCTAATCAATATTCAAATAATAATCATTCATTAAGTTTCACATCAAATGAGGAGTTGTTCCACGAACCCGTCTGTCGTATTTATCTTATGAAGTGTATAAGATACCTAAAGTAGACGAAACACCATCAAAGCCATCCCGAGCACTGCTAAGCCTCCTTGAAGACGTCAACTCATTCCCGATCTCTTAGTAATTCAACCGGAAGACTCAAGGATGGCAAACGTACTCTAACTACACTGCCATATCCAGTAACCTACATAATATGTTATACTCTTCAGAAATCCTAGGCTTCAAACAGCTAACCGCCTAACCCACGGTTTGCTGATATCCGTGAAGAAGCTTGCCCCTTTCACCGTTGCCGGCGTGTCCTCAGTAACTATAACATTGCAGTTCGTAATCCAGTCCCCCTCAGCAGCATACTTTTCCGCGACATATCTGGCATAGTCGCTCAGCTTGCAGGATGATCCGGGGCCGTTATTGCAAGAAGGGATCGGATACACTGCATCATTCAAGCGAATGCGGAGGTATGTGTTGTTCGACCCATCAGAGTGATAAGTCCCGGTTTCACCATCCCCTTTCACAGTACAGCTTAGACGTTCGAAAGCAATTGTGCCTCTCATTGACACATACCGCGACCCTACCCATAGTCTATTGTCATCCTTCTCGGTAGCAGACAGCGCGGATTGTCCATCGAAAACGCCGCTTGCGGTTACCAGTTCGGTTAACTGTCCGTCATTCAAGAATGATACCAGAAGCTTCGGAAGGTTGAAAGTCGAGCCATTTACCCCCACGCCTGTGGTAGATCCGTTTTGCAAGATGCCAACGAGTGCACTCAAGAAAGGCGTCATCATTTTCTTGGCGAGGTCTGTACCTGGACCAATACCGTAGTAGTAACGGAGATCGTTGGAGTACTCGTATTGCTTCAACTCTTCATCGGTGAACACATCACACCAGGATGAAAGTTGGCCCGTGATATGACTCTCGAAACCGCATAGATAGGGTATCTGGGCGATATCGCCAGCTGTCAAAGATAAGTTCCCCTTTATCAACTTCTGCAGACGATCCTGAACAGGCGGGATCCAAATTTCATCCCAGGTTGACTTGTGTTCTCCCCCCTCTGAATCTTTGAAGTTGGGACACATATCCGAAGGGGCGAGTGAGTCCCCAACACCGGCCGGGAAGCCTCTAGACGTCACCGAGATTATGCTCCCCTTCCGAGAAGCGGCGACCCCCAAGTAGCCGCGAATAAACATGGACGCTGTCTGGAGGACCCGAGTATAATTGTTAGCCCATACTATGAACTCATCTCCCTCTCGGTAAAGACCCGGATACCTGCTGTCATCAGCCTAAGTACTATAAGAACAACGACACAAGACTAGAATAAACCTTGTACGTAGTGTATAACCCAGATCGAGTGCCTCCTTTACACCAGTAGGGTTTTCCATGCCAGTCTGCGATGCGGGGTCTTCAAGGACCGGCCGCCAATTTGAGAGGAATGATAAGCTCCCACTCGCGGTGTAGTTGCTGGTTTGAAACTGGATACGAGATTTTAGCTGATATTAAGACAATCTATTAAACAGCTTAGAGGCTAACCCGTTTGTACATCGATACCCATCCATCATAAGCTCCTTGGTCTGGGTACCTCGAACCGTGTCTCGAGACGTAGGCAGCTCGATCGACATGACAGTTTTGAGGAGGCTCAGGTGAAATTCCGAATACATTTGGGCCTGATTATAGTAATATGATGAGTAAAGTTTGAGGCTATATAGGTATTTTGGAATCTTACCGGCATACCATGGCCCATTAGCGCCCAGCCATTGAAGAGGGTTCGTCGCGCTTTCACTACTAGGGAAATTTATATCCTGGACTGGTGCTAGATATTGTGTTGTCGCATTACAGACTCTGTATACCAGAGATATGATAATGACTTGTGATATATGCATGGTGTTATCTTGCTAACCGTCAACTTGTAACACATAAAAAGGTAAACCCTTCGTTCGGTTTAACAGCCATGGTCGACAATAATATATATAACTACATCTACTAATAGCCCTGTATAAATGACAATTCTCAATTAGTACTATAAAATATACTATAAGGCAAGCATATCTATAGCATTACGAGTAACGCTCGTAAAATCAAGATAGTATTATCAGCGTAATACGCACGTGTCTAATAGTCGTCCTCTGGTTTGTGCAGATAGCTAGTCCCAAGAAGATGGTACTAAGCTGGTCGGAGATTGAACTACTAATTTGGGTCGTCACCCATTCCATGTAGTAGCCCGCTATCAAATACTACGATCTTCATGCTCTTGATAGTCAAGAATAGGTAAAGAGATTTACGAAGTTCTTAAGTAAGAAAATAGAAGTCTTCTATTGGACAAGTCAACGGGCACTTAATTATATGTATGTTCACCTGCACGTCATAGGTACCTAAGTATTTCGCACTAGCAGGTCCTCTATTCCGCGTACCGGTGGGTCCCGGCTCCGGTTTAGAACGTCGCTGCACGTCTCCTGCATGTCTCCTGCATCACCGGCTTCCGGACATCTACCAATAAACTGCCCTACAAGCTTCCATGGCCTCCCAGCTAACATAATCTCCACAAGTGTCCAATCCAAACACCCAAATAAAAATGCCGACCAGAATACCCAAACCAGAAGACTTCGAGCACCTAACCCCCTCCTTACACACATCCCTAATCTTCCCCGAAGTCCCGGAAACTACCACCGCCATCCTAATCCTCTTCCACGGCCTCGGTGACTCCGAAGCTTCCTTCGCCACCTTCGCCAAAAATCTAAACCTCCCCGGCGTTCTCGCCATCTCCGTACGCGGCGTGTCTCCCCTTCCCCCGTCTCTCCTAGGTCTCCCTCCCGCTGAAGCTGCGCAGCCAACCCGGCATTTCCACTGGGGAGATGACTTGGCCCTATCGCCGGCGACCGGGGACTTGGATCCCGACCCGGGATTTACGAAAGCCGAGAGCTTGGTGCTGGGCAAACTGATTCGCGAGACGCTTGTTGAGAAGTGTGGCTGGGAGACAAACGACATCCTGCTCTTTGGCTTCGGGCAAGGCGGCTCGCTGGCTCTAGGCCTAGCGTCAAAAATCCGCGAGGGCGAGAAAGTCGTGGACGTGACCGAGGGGAGCAAGACTATGCTAGGCACGGCATTTAAAGGCGCCGTGTCGATTGGCGGGCCATTGCCGCCGAGCACGATACCGACGCTGAGCGCGCGAGAGAAGGCTCGCACGCCGGTGTTAGCGTGTCATGGCAGGTCAAGCGAGATTCTCGATGACGATGCGATAGACTTATTGAAGAGGGAGTTTGTAGATGTAAGGGAAGTCAAGTGGAGGAAAAATGACGACGGCATGCCTCAGAATAGAGACGAGATGTTGCCGATTATGCAGTTTTTCGCTGAGAGATTACGCGGGTGGTAGAGCCTACCATCATACTAAGTAATACCGGCAAATAGTCACTATTAATCCTGGGGGATAATGGGGTTTTATGGAAATAAACTGTATGTGTAATTTATTTGGTGAGAACTAAATAGGTACGCTTGGTCAAGTTTCATCTAACCCGATATATATACCTAGGTACCTAAAATATACATATAGGTATATATGTGTCCAAGTGCTCTAATGATCACTTTACTACTTGATAGCATAAGAGGGAACATCATGTCCCATTAGTGCTAATAAACATAAACGAACGACGGAGTTCGAGTTGTTTATGTTACAGAAAACTCGACACCAACCCTCTAGGGTTTGTTACCAAAGGCTGCATACACCTGAATAAGTACACATCCGCTGCATGATAGTTAAATACAAAACCTGGAATACCTCCCATCATCCACTCCACCAGAACGCCGTGGCTATGCAAAGAAGCAGGCTATTATGATACATTCATTGGCGATTGTAATTCAGCTATTACAGTAGACTCGTTTAAGGTAAGCCCGATTATTTTCGCTCGTCGTCAACTATTAGGCCGATAAAGGGGAATTGTGGGATCCGCCCTTTCGCCGTCCTTGAGGAGCGGCGTAAGAATCGATCCTAGAGCCCTCGTCTCTGGTGGTTGTGTATTATCAGTTTCGACCTTAGGACTATCATCACTTAGCAGGCTAGTGATATCGTTCGTCCGGCCTAGCCCCGAAAGCTTTTCGGTCGAGTGTATATCGTAAAGTTGCTCGCCACTATCCAAAGGTTCATCCTCTAACTCTTCAGTATTGCCTAACTTTGCAGCATTACCGACATCCTGGCCTCCGAGAGATGTGAAGGTATCGCTGCCTGGTTCCGCCTGTTCTATTTCATGTTGAATTGTAGAGACAAGAACAGAGTTTGGATCGATACAATCATAGAAAAGCATGAACACTCCACCTTGTGCCAAGACAGTCTCTTCGGATACCTCCCACACACTCTCGTCACTTAAGCGCCACCATTTCGCATTTGTATCTGAGTCGGTACACCCGCCATTGTTTTCATCGACTCCATCGACTAGGGTACTTTCGTCTCCTGCGGTATTATCACTTCCAATACCCGAGTCGGATTCTTCGTCGTCAAGTTTCGATGGCTTACAGGGATGTCTTCGATAACAAACGTAATGGCCATTTTCATGTCGTCCTTGATGAGTTATGACCGCGCGTAGCTCATAAAGTGGACCACTAATCCTAGAAGGCCTCATATCACCCGAAACCATCGATAACTTCGGATCTGTAACCCATTGCTCTTCATCGTCAGAAGTACTGGCTGCAGAATCCATCTTTCCCTGAATGAGGCTAGCTGGTCCGCTGGCACTCCCTAAGCACCATGGACCAAGGTCGAGCGTCTTAGGAAATCGCACCGCTGCGAGGTTCTTGAACATATGACCCGTATTTTCGTCAAATACCGAGCGATTCATATGAATGGCAAGGCTCTGGGGTGGGCGTGCTATAGCTACCTGCTTGGTCTTAGTCGAGCTGACTCGTTTGCGTATTTCGCATTTATCTTTTAAGGTAGTTTCCTGGAAATCGTCCTCCTCAAGAGCAAGTTCTACGACTTCTAATCGGGAATTAAGCTTTCGTAATTCAGTCTCGGTCGCGTCGTCTCCTCTACGAGACTGAAGGATTTTTAGCAGCTTCCGATAGCTTAGTAGTGTACACTTGGCACACTCAACTCCCTCGATTGTCTCTAAATCTGTGTAAGAATCTAGTCGCTCATAGAGATCGTGTTCTGTTTGCTCAAGTCCGAGATTGAGAGTGAGACAATTGAATGGGGTCATGGAAAGCCCGTCGGAATAGCCACACTGAACGCATGCTACTCGTTGTGCTACTAAGCCCTCAAGTGGATTTCTTAAAAGTCGAGCGTCCGATCCGGCTTTAGAAAGGACTGGTAGTGACTGATATCCGCTGTCATCACTGTGCTGGCTGTCCTCGGTATCATCTCTTATACCAGCCGCTTCAAACCCGGGTGAATGGGAAATAGGTTTTACTGTTTTCATGATCTCCTTTTCAACCTCATCTAGTATCTTGGAGAAATATTCCTGGGCGTCTTGCTGTTGCCAAGTGTCTAGAGATTTTAGCCTTTTCGGCGTCCATAGGGTCTTCCCATTATAATTATTGCCCGTTAACTTCGAAATGAGGTCTCGTAACGAACTCGCCGAACCTAACTCCCCGTCGCTATCAGAACCATCTTGTTCGAGGCCCCTCGCAAGATATAACGGGAATGGCCTTAGCGACGATAGTCCCTGAAGGATGCTGTTTTGGAAGCAGGAATTATCGTAGTTTCCTAGGCCGGGGGGTTGGTCGGTCTTATATTTGACAAGCGTGCTGTTTGATAGACTAGAAAGACTTCTTCTGCCGGCGTCGGCAACGGATGTTATTATGCCACCTGGCCCATCCATCCCAAGTATTCGTCTAAGAAGTTCACTCTTAGCGGCGTGCGATCGAGGCTGGGTCGATGACATAGACCCCGGAGTCGGGAATATCGGTGGGTGTAGCCAGCCGTCGAGAGCATAGAGCACGGCCGCGGGAGTTATAGTTACTATAAAGTCCCAAAGAAGCTCTCCGGGATGCCGTGGTCGCGAGAAGGGCGAAGTATGGAGATACTGGTAGAAGATGGTGAATAGAAGGAGGAGTAACGGCAAGAGCACGCTGGGTTGCTGCAATCGTTCTAGTAAAATATCGGGGATGTAATAAGTATAATTGTTGTTAAGGCGGTCGGGTTGTGCCTTAGAAGGGTGGGAGCGCATCCTGGAGTTTGTAGACTGCTGTTGAAAGATAGAGCATGTGATGATAACTTCCGTGGGGTATTAAGGCAGTAATTTATTGTTGACGAAAGTCGCCATCGCAGTGAGAAAATATTTGCATATCTCTAGCTGCCCATCTCTAGATTTATATCCACGTACGGCGATGTGAAAGGTAGGTATCTCTCAAAGCATATGTTCGTTGTTTGTTACGGGATGATTAATGAGTTGTGTTTTTTATTGGAGGAGATAAAATCGGGGACTACCTACTTAGGTACATACTGTGTAGGTGTTGAAGGCAGGGCTGATGTGACAGTCTATTTTAGTGGGTCTCCAAATAGAGAAACTTTCCGCTAATCACGTAAGGACCCTACAGCTGGGATGGATTGGTGATGTAGGTACTCGCACATATAATAAATTGAGGAAAGTACTTTGCCGTATCTGTAAAGAAACCGTAAAGGATAGTCGCTGCAAGAAATATAATGTCTGATTGGCTATAGCTGCTGCATAGGTCCCTCCCCCAGACTTCTTATCGGATTTTAGAACGGGTCGTTATCACACGACCCTGCGGGGCACTTTTTTCTTTTTTTGAAAACATCCAAGGTTAGGTTAGTAACTTGCAGATGCGTCTAAGACTTGGTTGAAAAGAGTCGTCTTCGTCAAGAAAACTTTCGCAGAACCCCGCGAATCGCAGAAGTCATGGCTAAGGGCGCGATATCAAAGAAGAGGAAAGGTATGCAATTTTATTCTTATTGTTTCGTCTTCGGCCGCATTTCATATAATTAACAATACATGCTCTACGTAGCTCCCTCCATTCACTCGCGGGCCGTAAGACGTGCTACTTCTCCAAGTATCGATACGGACAAGTCCCTGAAGAACGTCAAACCTCCTGCCGAATCAGTCGATCATCGTCCTTCTGTGCTTGCCATACATCAGGGAGCGGGAGTTTCAAAAAAGACGACGAAGAGTAGGAATATGAGCTCTAAAGCAAGAAGGAGGTATGAGAAAGGGCAGGATCGTGCTGCAAACATTATGGAGAGGACGGAGCGGAAGATTGCCAAAAGCAAGGGCCAAGCTCGAACGATTCAGACACGAAGGAAAGCCTGGGACGAGATCAACAACCAAATACCCGCAAACAAGAGTGAATCTCAAGGAGAGGTGGACAATGAAGAAGACGAGGCATCCGAATTGGACGAAGAGATGGATGATGCACAGCTTGAAAAAGCCCACGATGGTGCTACGTCGGTAGACAAGGTTCCTTTACAAGAAATAGAAGAAGAAGATGAGATCCTTTGATCTTCAGGAATCCGAGTAGAACATCCATCCTTCTGGGCGTTATTGGTGTAGGAGGGGAAATTCATTATTTGTGGCTTTAAATACATAGTGAGATACTTCTTCGTCTATCTCACGATAGGACGCGAGAGGTTAACAATGCGATTCGGATTCGGATTCTATCGCCAATGGCTAATCGGAGGGTTTGAATATGAAGGTACCACTTAAAAGATTCCAGCTTATCGATAAATTAGACTATCGCGGGCCCACTTATACTTACATGGTTGCATGGACATTCCATCTTTGCAGATTGAATAACGTTTCTAGCTTTCTCATACCTTGCAGAAATCAAAGCTAAACACTCGCATCTTCAATTCTATTTCTTAACTCCCTTCTACAATGCCGCCACTAATGCAGCAGAAACGCATGACCGCAAATCCCGCGCGACCATCCCGTTATCGCGCTGGAAAGCCGACGGGCGCATCATCGTCCTCTGAATCTGGTTCAGAAGCTAGCGACGCCGAGGTTGACCAGCAGCAACAAAAGACCCAGCGTAAAATCGCGCCACCGCCCAAAGTTCCAAGTGCAGGCAAAATCATCAGTAATCTCAGCAAGGTAGATCTCAACGAGCGCCAAAAACAAGAACAGGAGTCGAATGCTAGACGCGTCGAGGCCGCGAAAGCAGCCCGCCTGGCTGCCGAGGAGGGTTTCGTCACAGAAGAAAGTGAAAGCGAAGAGGATAGCGAAGAAGGAAGTGACGAGGATGACGACGAAGAGGAGGATGAAAGTAGTGAAGAAGAGGCCCCACGGCGGCTAATGTTAAAACCCAAGTTTGTACCTAAAAGCCAGCGGAACGGTAATGGCAGCAAAGAATCCACCCAGGAGCAAGACGAGGTAGCTAAGCTAGCTGAGGAGGAGGCGAAGAAGAAGAAGGCTATGGACGAAATGGTTGAGGAGCAAATGCGCAAAGCTGCGGCGGCACGCGCGGCCAAGAAAAAGCACTGGGACGATGTTGTAGACGAGGAAGAAGACGTCGATACCGAAGACGATGTAGACCCGGAAGCCGAGTATGCCGCATGGAAGCTACGCGAACTCAAACGTATCAAACGAGAGCGTGAGGCCATCGAAGCTCGCGAGAAGGAAAGAGCCGAGGTCGAGCGCAGAAGAAACCTGACGGAAGAAGAACGGAAAGCGGAAGACGAAGCTTTCTTAAGCA